GATTCAATACTGACACTTTCTTCCTTGCAATGATTCTAGAGTGTTTTCTTGTCTTTTCTTCTGTCAAATCTGCCCGGGCCACATGAGAATTAGCCCTAGTCTCTGAACAAGACAAGTAACTTCTTTTTAGCAAGTCTGTTTTTCTTCTAGCAAGTTTAGAAAATTCTATCTTCTACACTGATTCTGTTGGTGCCCTTTCAGCTGTTGTATACTAAACCTTGGGTTGGCCAGCACCTTTAACCTATGGGTCTAAACTTTTTGCTATAGTAAACTACTAACTACTAAAACAGGTGAGTGATTGTTTTAAGACAGGTTCTCACTCTATTTCCTGGGCTAGAGTGCAGTGGTGTCATCATAGCTCACTGCAACCTCAAACTCCTGGGCTCAAGCGATCCTCCTGCCTCCCAAGTAGCTAGGCATGTACCACCACACCTGGCTAGTTTTTAAAAATGTTTTGTAGAGACAAGGTCTCTCTCTATTGCCCAGGCTATATTGGTCTCGAACTCCTGTCCTCAAGTGATCCTCCCACTTCAGCCTTCCAAAGTGCTAGGATTATAGGCATGAGCCACTGCACCCAGCCTAAAACAAGTTTTGACTTAATTCTCTTCTTTCATATATTTTCATACTGGCTCAAAGATTATCACACATCTTTTGGACATGTTGAAAACCAAACAACAAAGTATTCATTCAGCAGCTACTATATGCAAGGGGTGCTATGGGGAGTACTGAGGATTATAAATTGTAATCCCTGTCTGCCAAAGACTTAGGGCTAGTTGAGGGTATAAAACGAATGCAACTGGAAAGAGCCTTAATAACACAGGGTGGTACTGCTTGTCATATACACGACCCATATTTTTAAAAATCTTTGTTTTGACTTTTTCATGCAACTTGTCTTTGGTGCTCATGGTAGATAACTATGGATGGCTCTATCAACCTTTATTCTACCTTCCCTCTAGTGCAAGAGCTTAAAACACTGAAAATGTTATTTCCTAGACTCCCTTGTGAGATAAAATGATGAGAAGCGAGTTGAGGAGATCTGGGCGTATGGAGGCAGCACGGCAGCCAGACCAGAGGTCCAGCGTCCAGTCCCAGCTTCCTGGCTGATGAGGGTTCTGTGGTGGCCACAGTCATAGCCGCTTCATGACAGCTGGACATTAACCATGATGGAGCTTGTTATGAATAGTTCCTACCACCCTGTTACAGAAGTGGGAAGGACAACAAGCTGGAATTAGGACCAAATTTGGACGAGATCTCATTTCCCTTCTGGTTTACTTCATGGCTTTGTGCAAATCCTTTCATTTCTCCGTGCACTAATCTTTCCTCTTTGGTTAACAAGGGCAACACCAATGACTCTTCTTGTATACTGCCCCTGAAGACAAATAAAATTACTAGAAAACACTATTGCGCTTCTTTTCAAAGGGGGATGATTCTGACATTACCACATGGGCCTTCTCCAGAGTGACATTCATTTACCCTGAGTACTCTGGAACGAGGGATGAATTCCTGAATGCACTGGGAACGTGGCCCTTGAAAAGCATCTATTTTCTTTGTTTTGTGTGGTTTCTATTTATTTACAGAATGCCCTGGTTATTCATGATACTTTACAAACCATAAAAACAAAGTCTCCACCCTGCAGAATTTACAGTGTAATTCAAACAGACATGCTGCATGGACTGACAGGTCAGGCGTGCCAGGGGATGGTGTTGGTGTTGTATAACATGGGTGTGGAGGGGTTCTTCTTGAGTTATAAATACTTTCCAGTTACAAGGGCCTTTCATCTGGGATCCCCAAGCACTTTAGAATGGCAATAACCTTGATTGCTTTCTAAATGCACTTTCCATAAACTGTTGTGGAGACTGAGTAAATGCTTTTAAATGTCTATTAATTGATCTGTGGACCTGTTCATTGTCCATATTAAACAGAATATATGTAAACACGACAGTTTAGGAGAGGCCCACTTCGGGCTGTGGCCTGGCTGCTCACAGATTACAACCCTAGAGGAGCCTCGTAGCCTTGCCACAGCTTTGGGAGGGCCAAATGGACACCTGGGCACTGTCCTAGGGGAGACGCTCACTCAACCCTCGGCTCAGAAAGGCACCTCTTGGGGCCTTGATTCACTGTTTATGGATGAGTTAACATTTCAAAGTCAAGTGTGCTCAGGGAAAGAATTTCCACTGTAGAAACTTGGAATAATCCCTTGGCTAACGAGAGTGGTTCTCATTTGGCTCCCAAGGGTGCCATCCAGTTTCTCTTAAGCTACTTTACTCTCTTTCTTGAGCAATAGCATTTTCAAATGGTAATATTCATATTTCATTGCAGCTGGTGTGGAGTTTCTATGTCTCCCTCAAAGGCCATTTAGCAAGTGATTATTCCTGACCTATTTGACAAGTTCATTCAAATCCAAGGGAAGACTGGCCTGGGGATGCAAGTCCTGAAAGTTCACCCAAACGTTTGTGAGATAAGCATCCCTCCTTCTAGCCATCCTTAAACACTTCTCAAGTTATCTTTCTAAAAACCCAGATGGAATCGCATTACCCCCTGCTTTAAAAAACCTGCCTGAAGAATAAAATCCAAATGCCTCAGCAGGGTGGATGTGGCCTTCGTGGCCTCAGCCAGCTGACCTGTCTCTCTAGTTTCAGCTCTGTCCACGTGATCTGCAGCTTTGGCCACACCAGATGCCACTTCCCCAGTGACCTCAAACTTTCCTGTCCCTACCTCCTGCCATATCCTCTTTCGTCTTCCCTCCTTGCCTTCCACTCACATCTTCCTAGTAAACGCCTGCTGTTTTGAGCCTACCTCAAATGTCCCCATCTTCATAGCCCACCGCTGTCATGCCCCGCCTCCATCATGCACACGCAGTCACCTCTTCTCCTGGAGCACGGCCTCGTCTCCACCTCTGTTGACACAGCTGCCACGTCGTTTTTTGGGTACTGGGAGCTTCTTGAGCCCAGTGGTCGTGTCTCAGCAAAGTTCTGCTGAAGGGTCCTTTGTGCACTTTGAAGTGGTGGGGAAGATAAAGGGAGGGAGCAACTGTAGCCCAAGACCCTTGTAAACTATTTGGAATCCTGGTTTTGAAGGATTTCTTCTCGCCTGCTGTGAGGCGGTCACTCCACAATGATGCTGACCAATCCACTTTCAGGTTATGAAGTGCCAAATTCATGGGAGGGGGGTGCTATACATTTGGAAAAAAAGATTTTAATTGTGGTAAAATACACATAACACAAATCTATCATTTTAGCTATTTTTAAGTTTACAGTTCCTTGGCATTAAGTACATTCACATTATTGTGAATCCATCTCCAGAACTTTTCATCTTCCCAAACTGAAACTCTGTACCAATTAAACACTGACTTTCCATTTTCCTGTCCCTCAGCCCCCCAGCAACCACCATTCTATCTTCTGTCTCTATGAATTTGACTATTCCACCTCACATAAGTGGAATCATACACTGTGTATGCTTTTGTGATCGGCTTATTTTACTAAGCATAATGTCTTCAGGGTTCATCCATGTTGTAGCATGTGTCCAGATTTCCTTCCTTTTTAAGGCTGAATAATACTGCGTTGTATGGTATATGCCACATTTTGCTTATCCATCCATCTGATGATGGACATTTGGGTTGCTTCCACATTCTTGTTCTTGTGAATAGTGCTGCTCTGATCATGAGTGTTCAAATATCTCTTTGAGACTCTGATTTCACTGCTTTTGGGCATATAGGCAGATGTGGAACTACTAGACAATACAGTAAGTCTATGTTTAATTATTAGAAACTGTTTAATTAATTAATTAATTAATTAATTATTAATTATTAATTAACTGTTTAATTAATTTAGAAACTGCCTCACCATTTTCTACAGAGGCTGCGCCATTTTACATTCCCCCCAACAGTGTACAAGGGTTCCAGTTCCTCCATATCTTCACCAACATTTGTTATTTTCTGTTTGTTTTTGAAATAGCCATCATAGTATGTATAAAGTGGTATCTCATTGTGGTTTTAACTAAATTCAGTTTTGAGCATTGACTGTCTTGATTCCCCATGATAAATCCAGTTTTGCAGCATGACATCTGTTTGTTCTTCAGACATGAGCCTGCCTCTGGGGAAGGGGCCACAGAGCTCCTGATTGAGGCTAAGTGGGCCTGCAGCCTGTTATACTTCTTTGTATAGGCCAGCAGGGGGCACTCCCACAAGACTGCCAGGGTAGTTTCCCTGACCGATGGCAGGGCAGCTTGCTTTTCCAGACCAAAGCAGCAAGCTAGAGCACCAGCAAAGGGATTGTTTTGTTCTCTAACCCTCTTCCCTCCTGTCCTGTGCTCCTGTGCTCCTCACAGTGTCAGCATCAAAGAGAACCAAGCATCCCAGGCCATAACGGCATTTCTCAAAGGGGGTGCCACGGCATTCTAGCAAGGCAATTCTTCATTATGTAGGACAGTCTCTCACACTGCCAAAGTTCGCATCCCAGGCCTCTGCTAAATTCCAGCGTGGCTCCCAGTTATTGTGACAATCAAAATGCCCCTCACCCACCTTTCCAAAGTACCCTCCTCTGGGAATGGGAGTTGCCCAGTTTGGAGCCAGGCATGCAAAGGAAAGAGGAGAGTCCTGGTATCCCCCACTCACTCATGCAAAGCACCAACCACCATAATGAGGCCTCGTGCCCAGTCGCGGGGATGCTGGAGCTCAGCCAAGGAGAACGTCACTATTGGCTTTAGGTGACCTAGACAACTCCTGGAGTCTGCTGATGGTTAGTTGACAGTGACAGGCTCACATATCAGGAGAAAGGGGGAGATGCTTTCTAAAGACACCCCAGTGTGGCCCCCACCCCACACAACCAGGGCTTGCAACCTGATCCTGGTCCCTTCAAGGACCATTGACACCCCCGTACCCACCCCCCCAGTGAATGAACACTGCCCTCAGCCGCCTCTGCCTTGCCTGGGTTGGTTTAAGGGACTTCCTTTCCCTGTGCTGCCATAGCAACCGGGAAACAACCTCCACTCACAATGAGAAGGATGGTGCTGTGGCCCAGATCTGTAGATGCACACGCTGGTAACAGAGCAACCAGGACCAAGGGACAACAAGGGCTCCGGCGAAGGGGAGAGAGAGAGGTTGCCCAGAGAGGAGACAATCCAGGGCTTGAGGAGCCTGGGTATGCGGTTTATTTTTCTTCTCGACAAAGACACACACTGTCTAAACTGTGTGGCTGGTTGTTATTAAGGAGCTGCTGTAAGAGGGAAAAATGTATTTAATAAAAGGCCCAGTGTTTGTGGTCTTCTTGGGCTTGCTGCTGAGCTTTGGAAATCTTGAGGTGTGACCAGTTTTCAGCCTTCAAAACCAAGATGAACTGCCCTTGAGAAGGGGTGGTCAGAGGGGAAATATGTTCGCGCTCTCTCTCCTGAGCCGGGGACATGGGAAGTTGGTCCAGAGCAAACAGAAGTTAGAAGTCTATCTTGAACCAGAGGTGAGTCTTACAGCTGAATAAAGGCACATTTTGGGGGTGGGGGAGGAATGCTCTATTTTCCATCTTGGGGTGAACCATGTGTGTCTTGGTTTGTGTTGTTAGTGAGGCGGGCGGGAGTCCCTGCTAGATCTCCCCTCCTCCTTCATGAAACACAAGAAAATAATGTCGTTTTCTTGACACACCAAGATTGTCACTGAGGCCCTCTTCCTTTCACTTGCACACTGACTTACTCTCTTGCACTTGCACTCAAGCCTCCTTTGCTTGAGACCAACAGAGATTCCAGATTGTCTGGAATTTAGATGGTTTGGTTCAAGCCCAGAATTTCCACCTGGGTTCTAAGCAAGCTGATGGTAGTTTGGTTTTTAGAAGTTGTGCTCTGTGGTTGAAATGCTGGGTGTTCATGCCATTTTAATGGCTTCCTTGAACTTTCTGGAATTCAACCCACAGGACTCATATTTAATATATACCCAAAAAAAAAAAATCTCATTTTAGAACATTTTAAAGAGGTGGCAAAATTCCCTTGTCGTACTAGAATTTTATTTCATTGTATCCTGCCAGGAATAAGAAATCCATTGGGAGCACTTTGCAATTTGGGGGTCAGACAGAGATTTCCATTGTCATGGTACCTTGTCATGATATTTGACCTTTGCTGTGTTAAAAGGCATATAAAGTTTCAAAGGACCTCTATGGCCAATGGCATTTACTTACTTACAAGATATGTAACCACTTTATGGGCTCCTAAATAGCCAAATTAGGTAATGTTACATAGCATCTGGAATGCATAGGAATTCTCCCTGTGTACAGCTGAAGTAGTGGTGGGTTGGAATGGTTTTCACCTATTTAAACTGCCAGCTAGTCCAGGTCTAATTTCAAAGTTATCTGCTGCTCTTGATAATTATGACTACTTACTTGCATACCAGGAAACTTTAATTGGCCTGTAACCTACACTCCACCCAAGTTAAGCCTCCAAGGCATGAATGGCTCTCCTGAAAGTTGTATGGGGTAAAATAGAACCATGGCCTGTTTTCTGCTAATTTTGAGATGTGAAAAGAAAAGCAGTTGCTAAAAAGAGTAATTGTGTTGTTGCGTGACACCGTGTGAACAAGTCAGAGAAAATCAGTAACTAAAAAAATGTCAAACACCTTGCACGAGCAGTATTTCTGTAGAAAAGTCTTCCACAATAGCTCGATCTAGGTGGCTTCTTTCCATTGCAGGATTACTTGAACTGGAAGTCCCCAGAAGATTATGTGCTGGTCGGAAAGCCTCAGGATGAGGACAGTGCCGACCAGCACTCCTGGCGCCTCTTTCTTCCTAAAACTTTCAGCACTAGGAAGGGTGCCTTGATCCTCTATTCGGAAGGTTTGGCCGTATCAGCATGGACACCAGAAGAGAGGAGAAAAGGCTCCTACCTCTCCAAAGGTCACGGGAGGAGGCTGCGCACAGTTCAAGAGCTCAAAGAAGCCATCCTGGCATACGGAAGGAAACAGGTAGGCAAGAAGGCCCTTGGGTTTGGGAAAGGCACTAGCTTGTGTGTCTTACAAATCCAGTTGCAGCTTTGGGTATAACTTCTTCTTGGACCCCAGGGAAGGTATGAAACTCTCAGACCTCCATTTCCTCATCTCTAAAATGGACCCTATCTGCTGCGTACAACTGTCAGAAAGCTTAAATGACACTACGTATGTGAAAGGGCTCTGAAAAGCATAACAGGCTATATTGCCAGCATTTTGTGTTTTCCTTTCAGTTATAGCAACACAAAGTCCTTTTCAGCATTCAGACAGATTCAGGCCAGCAGACATTTCAACAGAACCCTTGAAACCCTGTCTCATAGCCACAAGCATCATCAGCCCATCTCTGATGTTCTTGGCTTTGTGGAAATGAGAGGGAGAACACTTTAAATATTTACCTTGAGCCCTTCAGCGTCTGCAGGATAAGTTAATGACTCTTTCCATTTTGAATTTAACATTAAGGGAAAACCCCTGTGCTCATTTTTCTGATTCATGCTTTTTAATGTCTTATGAGATGTACACGTGCCCTTGCTTTATGTAACTGCATACATCAGCCCTTTGGCTGAGGCCATAAGACTGTCTGGGAAGATGTGTCACTATAAAATTCTAGGTTAGAGATGGTGGGTTACTCACTGATTTGAAAATCTCTGCTAACCTCTCATCCCCCGCTGAATAAAGTCGTTAGTTTCTTAGACTAGGCTCTTCATGCACTGGCTTTCTCTTCCATGTCTAGCCACATCTCCCAGCTGTTCCTACCACCACCTCAACCATGGACCCCTCAAGGCCCCACCCATGTGACCAGCTCACCATTCCCCAACACCCATGTCCTTTCATAACTCTATACTTTTGTACATGTTTCTATAGCTGGCAAACTCCTACCCATACTTAAAAACACAATTCAAATGTCATCTCCTCACTGAGGCCTTCTCCCACTTCCCTAGGCAGAGATATCCATGGCTCCCTCTTCTGCAAACATTCCCATACCATTATGCACTGAGATTTATCTCTTTGACCATCTGTCATTCTTGTTGGAATAACATCTCCAAGGCGGGGGCAATGTCTAGATCGTTTCCAGAAAATAGTGTGTTCCCATAAATGTTTGTGGAATGACTGAATCAGTCATGCATGAAATTTTCAATCTCCCAGACTCATTCTTGGGAAATTTATCACCTATCCCTTAGCCTACACAGAGCTTCCAAAAGGAAAGATCCCTCTGCCCCCTGTTATACACAAGGAAACTGAAGCTCAAGGGAGTTGAGTGATTTGCCCAAGGCCAGAGAGCCAGTAATGACAGAGCTAGGATTCTCCAGGGCCAGCAGGCTTTACACTTTGCCCTATTGTCTGTGGACTTGAAGGGACTCCCAAGGTCATTGTGCCTGAGCCTTGGCCTGTTTGTGCCCAGGTCCCCTCTGCACCCTTCTCCTACTCTGCTCTGTCTCACAGGCAGGTTGATCTCAGGCTGCATACAATTCCACAAATATCTGTGTCAACTGGCTTCAGATTGAATTTGCCAATGGGAGGCATTGGGAGGAGATTAGAGAGGGAGAAGAAGAGGAAAACCAGGATGTTTTCCCTCCTACTCTGCCTCAGGTGACAAGAAGCATCAGTATCACCTCTGTGGTCCAGCTCCCAACAGACAGGCCCACTATGGCCCAGATACCTCCAGGTGACTCCATCAGCCCTTCTCTCTCTTTCCTCCTAGCCTAGGGGTGGTGTCCACTTCCTGATACTACTGATCTCAATATTGCTTCACCATCTGCTTGGCTTCTAAGCTCTCCAATCACCTGTGTCATGAATTCCCTAAATTAAATTCCTTCTGTGTTTAAATATTTAGAGTAGTTTCTATTTTCCTGGTTGGATGCTGACTGACATATAGGTTAACTTCCCAGAGTAAGAATACCATGCACAGCTCTCAGATGCTCATCTATCTGGCTAAATACTTCAGGCAACAGGGATCTTACTGGTTTAGATCTTACCAGATGAGTCCATTTGGGAAAAGCTTCATTTTGGTTTAGATATGGGCTCAAAGAAAATAGTTCCTATCTTCCCATGGTATCCACCTACTAGATGTGTACCCCATACCTGTATGAAACAGAACGCTATAATCTAACTCCAAATGGGTCAAAGGGAAATACTGCAAAGAAATCAGAAAGAAAAGAAAAGGTTTCTAATAGTAACATGGCAAGAATTTAAGATTAAAAGACATAGTAGATTAAAAGAGGAGGGGAAACAACTCAAAAGGGATTTGAGATTAAAGAAAATGAACACCTCAGAAGAAGAGAGTTTTGGAAAATAGTACTATCTGATTATGTATACGACAGACTAACAAAAAAATTTTTGAAATCACAATAGCCAGAGCTGGGAAGGCTATGGTGAAATAGCAGTTTCATGCATTAGAAGCACAACTTCAAATGACATTTCTGGAAGGCATTTTGGCAAAAGCCTAAAAAGGGTTTTGATTGATATCTCTTGGTTCAGCATTCTACTTCTAGGAACTTGCCCTAGGAAATAATCAGAGATGTGCCTAAAGATTTATGCACATAAACATTTACTATAGGGTTATTTATTACTATGCAAAACACTGAAAATAATAAATATCCAACAATGGAAATTGATTGGATAAATTATGGTACAGTCATATAATGGATTTTGAGTCAGGCATGTATTAGTCATGAATACCATGAGAAAATATGCACAGTGTATTTTTTAAAAGCAGATTATAAAATAGTATTCATATAATAAAAATACCAATGTTCATTAACATTTTTTGAGTATTTACTATCTTGTTGCCACTGTTCTAAGTGCTAAGTATAACTAATTAATGCTTTCTAACACTACTATTATCCATTTTAAAGCACATAGAGTTTGAGTGACTCACTCAAGATTATACAGCCCAAATAGATCATCACACCAGAATTTGAGACAAGGCAGCATAGAAAACGTTGCCTCTCTACTATAATGTAATAAAATTGAGTATGCAGTCACAGAAGAATACACACCCATGTTTTAACTGTGGCTTAGACTGTAGGAGGTGGGATTATAAATCATATTTTAATTTATACATTTCTTTTCACCAAACATTTTTTAAACCTGGAATTTTACAAATAAAATAAAAATCTATAGCTTTGAAGGAGGTAGACAGTTGACCTTACAAATCTAGATGGGAGGATCTAGGAGGGAAACAGAATAGCAAATAGTGCTATAAATTGAGCCTACCAATAACCACACCATCTGTCCCTCTGGGTCAGTATTTCTTTGTCCAAATAGGATAGTTCCAAAGTTAAAAATGCTACACTCAAAGTAAAAGAGCCAAAGTAAGGAGGGGTAAAAATGGTAGAGGGGAGCTAACCAATACCCTAGTGCTGCTTACAGAAGGATTTGCATTGGCTGGACCACAAGTCAAGAAACCTGCATGACTCAGGCCCCATTCAGACCTGTGAGAATCACGGCCATCACAGGGAGGTACAATTCAATGTTTAGAGCATCTCACAGCACCTCTAGTTTTTTGTTTTGTTTTGGTTTTTTGAGACAGAGTCTCACTCTGTTGCCTGCACTAGAGTGCCATCGCGTCAGCCTAGCTCACAGCAACCTCAAACTCCTGGGTTCAAGTGATCCTCCTGCGTCAGCCTCCCAAGTAGCTGGGACTATAGGCATGCACCACCATGCCTGGCTAATTTTTTGTACATTTTTAGTTGGCCAATTAATTTCTTTCTATTTTTAATAGAGACAGGGTCTCGCTCTTGCTCAGGCTGGTTTCGAACTCCTGACCTTGAGCGATCCAACTGCCTTGGCCTCCCAGAGTGCTAGGATTACAGGCGTGAGCCACCTCGCCTGGCCAGCACCTCTAATTTGATCTATGGCTCTGATGGCACACATGTGGCAACACAGCTCAAGTTTATAGCTCAATATACATCCACTGTTAAACTTTCCTGATGGCCCAACTTCCTAATGAGCAAAGATAAATGTTAAATCAAGAGATCAGATGTCAGAGTTCTTAGAATTCTAGATACATAGAGATATGTTGCTTGGTTGGTTTTGTTAAACAAAACAAAATCTCATTCAACATTTCCAATGTTAAAACCATTCTTCTTGAGGCCTTTAATTTATTTAGCTTCCCATTATTTAGAAATCAAATAGCTATAAAACCTAAATGACCATATTTGGAATAGTATCTAAATGGTAGTCATACTGATGCTCTTGAGGCATAGCAGAAACCTAAAGTGCCTCTCAAATCAGAAACATTAAGTAATTTTTGCATTGTTTTAGCATTTCTTATTCTTATATTTTTAGAATTTTGTAAATCTAACAATATTTTTAAATGTCCAACAATGAGACATTGATTAAATAATGTATTAAAAATAATTTGTTTTAAAATTCACTTCACAGGGCATGCCATGTCTCTATCCCATTGAGGGATCAACAAAATTTAAATAACTATGATGGATTTCAACCAACATTGTACAATTGTTGCTCAGTGACCATGGGGTTCCAGGATACCCCTTGGTTCCAGGACCAAGGATCAAGATTGGTTCCATGACCCCCTAGGGATATCAAAATTCAAGGATGCTCAAGTCCCTTATATAAAATGATGTAGTATTTGCATATAACTTAGGCATATCCTCCTGTATACTTTAAATCACCTCTAGATTACTTATAATATCTAATACAATGTAAATAGTTGTTATAATGTGTTATTTCTATTAGTATTATTTTTATTGTTATGTGTTTATTTTTTTTCAAATATTGTCAATCCAAAGCTAGTTGAATCTGCAAATGCAGAACCCAGGGATACAGAGGGCTGGCTGTGTTGTTACCATTGTCTCCCTATAAGTGTAGTTACATTTAAGAGATTAGATAGATAGATTGGCAGCCTTGTTCCATTAAATAATCACCACTCATTCTACACCGCCTAATAGCTCTCTACCTCGTAATACTCAAGACACTTAACTCTTTGGTTGCTGTTTTCAGCCAATGTCCAACCC